AAAATCACTTAGTGTAATGCCATTGAGGTCACCCCAGTACACTCCAAGTGGTCAGGCATGGCACTGCAGGTGAGCAACTGGCTCAGTTTCCCCTCACCCACAGTATAAATAAGTCCAAGCAGGTTTTTCTACTATTAAAGAGCACCCTCTTTGGAGGGTCTCATGTATTTATCAGAAAGGAATAATATGAAAACAAATAAAATCTTCAGTAAGCTACTCCATCCTACATTCTCTGCCCTGGGTTAATCAGTCTTAGGACTGAAGCACTGTCAGGCTGAATTCCCTGCCTGGAGCTTGGGCCTCTGCTGGGCATTTGGTTGGATGCCACTCTTCCCTTGACAGTGCATCCCTCTTTGCTCTGCCAGTCCGTCATACATCCCCAGGAGGTCCCATGCTCAGTTACTTCTCCTGAGCTGCTCTGGTCCCTTGCCTGGGAACACTTTCTCTCTGGACCCATTCCTTCTCCCCATGAGCCTCTCTTCTCCAGGGAGACACCAATAGGAGTAGCTTCCTAATCAGCTCCCCTCTCTCTTCTCAAGAGCTTCCTCTGTTCTGGGGCTTCTTGACTGAAGGTGCTCCTTACTGAATGAACTATTGTTCAGCTATAGGTGGATCTGAGTTGGCTCATTCTCCTTAGCAGAGCCTGGCACAGGTCGACTGAGTGCTTGATTCCCTCAGGGGTCAGCCCACAAGATACTTAGACAAAATGGTCATGGAGGCCATATAAATACCTAGATAAATAAGTTTGGAAAAAGAGGACATGGCCAGTGCACCTTGTGTCCAATAGATCCCCCAAAGCCATAAGGCTGACTGTCATGTACTAGCCATGTGGGCCAATGCCCAGTGATCCCAGGATCTTACTCCTTGGCTAGGCACAATGCTGGTGGTATGTAAATTCAATGAGTCATTGCTCTTAAGAAGGAAGAATGATCTTTTGGGAGTTGAGAAACCTGGGTTCTATTCCCAACTGTGCCTCAAATTTTCTGTGTGACCACAGGCAAGACTCAATGTCTCCTTGCCTCAGTTTTTCTACCTTTAAAATTGGGTTAATACTTACCTTGCATGGATTTTATGAGGCATAATTCTTGAATATCTATAAAGCACTCAGATTTTTGCAAGGAGTATACCATAAACATTCAAAGTATTTTAAGTTATATTTGCATTGATCTTAATAGCTCGTCTAAAGGACTCTGTTTAGAAAGCTCACTTTATTTCAATGACATTTGTTCATTTGGAGTTAGAATAAGGCAACAATTTGCATGCTAGAAACTTGCTTTTTTTCCAGCATGTACCAAGGCACAAAACTTTACAGAATTCATCCTTTGTTATTTTTATTAAAAACAGTAGAAGATCCCATTTTCCTACTGTATAAAGTTATACCAAGACAAAATTTGAATTTTTAAACACTTTTAGAAGCTTGTCTTAAATACTTCTTTCAAACTAGAATGCTTTTCCCACTGAAATGGATGGGAAATAATTTCTTTACAACTTTGCAGCTGTTGACAGGAACACAATTGCATCTATAAAATAAACATATGAGTTTTCTGCTTCCATAGAAATGTTGAAACTGGCACTGGCATTTCTTTTTCATAACCATCTATACAAAAGAAGCTTGATATAAGAAGCCTTCATTTTTTTCTGATAGTTTCATGTTTGGGTTAAGAAAATGAAATGAAGCCAAAATTTTGAGAGGCGTATGAGCCAGGGAATTATATCATGTTTACAAGTTAGATAAGGAAAATCAATACTGTCAAAATTCCACACCTATGAATAACATCCTCTAGTCAGTTTCCATATTCACATGTTATAGTCTCTGCCCCTTCCCCTAGATTCTTTTGCTCTGATGGATACAGCATCACTGTCATAGATAACCCTGCCATAAAAATAATTAGTGAATTGCTTGTCCATCACAACAGCTGAACATATAGTACTAGTAAATGGATTTTTAATTAAATGCTTTTGTTAAAGGATTTCAAAGATGTTTAAGGGTCTTTTATATGGCACTCTTCATAGTAGTATCTATGCACCTCACAAACATTCATGAATTAATCTTCACAACTGCCTTATGAGAAAGGAAAATATTATTCCTGTTTTAAAGATAGTGAAACTGAGAAAGATCTTGCACAAGATCATACAGGAAGTGTGTGCAGAGTTGGGAATAGAATCCAGGTGTCCTGGGTCCCAGTGCTAAACCACAAGCCCATCTCGCCTCTATACATGTATTACCTGTGTGCTTTTATTTTTATGTTTTCAACTGAAAACTTTAGACTTTAGTCATTTCCTTTTACATTTTATTTTTGAAAAGAGTGTGATGCCAGTCTCGAAAGATCCATTTCACAACTTCAATATGGCTGTTGCCCATTAGCAAAACAGTTGTATGCTAACCCATTTGGTCTTGTGTAAAGTTTCATCAAGGATACTTTGTGAGATGAACTCTGTATCCTGTAAAGCAATAAGGGGAATATTTGCATAGAATCATAGAATGTTAGGGTTGGAAGAGATCTCAGGAGGTCATCTAGCCCAATCCCCTGCATCTCTCTGTGTGTTATATTCTCATGTCCTCCAGAGCAGTGGTTCTCAAACTAGGGCCACCGCTTGCTTGGGGAAAGCCCCTGGCAGGCCGGGCCAGTTTGTTTACCTGCTGCGATCGTGGCTCCCACTGGCCAATGGGGACTGCAGGAGCCGGCATGGGCCGAGGGATGTGCTGGTCGCCCTTCCTGCAGCCCCCATTGGCCTGGAGCGGCGAACCGCAGCCAGTGGGAGCTGCGATCGGCCAAACCTGCGGATGCGGCAGATAAACAAACAAGCCTGGCCCACCAGGGGCTTTCCCTGAACAAGCGGCAACCCTAGTTTGAGAACCACTGCTCCAGAGTACCTAAAATATGTGGATAAAGTTGGTAGAAAATAATGACTGTCATATCAATTAACTAATGGATTATCTTTGGGGAAGGAGATAGCCCTCTCAGCCTCCCTGCTTTCAGGATGCCAGCTTTTTGAGCTATCCTGCCTCCCTTCCCACATAATTTCTTCCTACTCCTTTGCCCAAATTTTTTTGGGGAGAGAGCGGGTGCTTCTCTGACTTCCCCTGAGTCAACTCCTCTGAAGCAGCAGCAGCTGCCTGACATATGCTATCTGTAGACAGTGTCTGTGGACTTCATTGCTGCTGCTACTGCTAGCCACCCCCTCTGCTGATGCTGACATAGATAACATAGCAGAGGGTTAGAACATCTATGGAAAACAAGCTAACCTGAATTCCTTCCAAGCTGACAAATCTACTTGCTCAACCACACTGAGAAGCTAGCCAACCTCATTCTCAGCTGACAAATACACTCAATACTTCCCCAAAAGCATGTAAGACTGGATTTCCTTCCTAACCAACAGCCCCCCTCAACAACAGCATCCCATCCCAGATGACAAATTCACCTGCAGGTCCCCTCTTCCTCCCAAAATCACTTGTCAAAAGTGATTGTGAAAGCGAGAAGAGTCCCAAAGTCATGAAATATGGGGAAATTATTGACCTTCTCTCTCTCATGTATAATTCAGTTAGCTGTTGAAGAATATTGACAATTTAACAAGAAACTTTATTCATATTAAAATTAAATTTATAATGCACCTACCCTTCTTCAAGTGTAGGGCTTTGTTCTGGCTTTTATAGTCAAAGCCCCATCTGTGGGATGTAGAGGTATGTCCTTCTTTGCGTGCGGTCCCTTAGGCATTCTTGCTCATTCAGTCAGAGCACCTTTAGGGGAAAACATCTGTGCAGAAGCTGCAAATCTTTGAGAGAATGAAGCATGTACACTCCTCTGCACTACCTTTGCTCTGCTGGCCAACATGGGAGGAATAGTCCCTCTCACTTCCAGTTCCTTTGGGGTCCTTGCGTACTAAGAATGCAAGGCTCAAGATTGCACATACCTAGTGCAAATGTGCAAGGCTCCCTAGGAAGATCCATGAAGGGATTTAGACATTTAACTGCCACTTCAGGGATCTAATTAAAAAATGTAGGTCCTCAAAATCTCTGCTTGGCTGGTGCATAAATTCTCTAAGTGCCTATATTTCTGTCAATAAAATCCCTTAGATGCCTAAATTTCTACTTGTGGACATGCACACAGCTGGTTGGATTCACAAACTAAGCATTCCCCCTGTATCTTGCCAGTGGGGTGGGTGTGCTCAGAGGCCACCTACTGGATTGGGCCTCATTCAAAATAATGATAGTGCTGCCCCTTTTTACCTAATAGTCCAGTGGTTAGAGCAGACACCCAGGATGATGTGGGAGACATGCATTCAAATCCCTCCTCTGCTTGATGAGGAGCCAGAGCCATAACTAGCTATTTTTGTGTCCGAGGCAAGAATATAAAATTGCGCCTTCCCCCGCTCCTCTGGCAGCACCGCCCCCCTTGGCTCCTCTGGCCACACCCTCCCCTTGGCTCCTCCGGGCGCGCCATGGCCATGCTGTGCCCCCCCCCTCCCCATGCTCCTCCGGCAATGCCCCCCCATGGCTCCTCCAGCCGCACCATGCTGTGCCCCCCGTTGGCTCCTCCAGCCGCGCCGCCCCCCCATGCTCCTCCAGCCATACCCCCCCAGCTCCTACAGCTGCACCGTACCGTGGCCACCCTTGGCTCCTCCGGCCGCGTCCCCCACTTGGCTCCTCCGGGTGGCACTGTGAGGAGCAGGGCCTTAAACCTTGGTCTCTCACCTCCTTAGTGAGTGCCCTAACCACCGGACTATAGTCACTCTCATTCCACTTTCTCTGGCACAATGACTATTTAAATATTTTATACAAAATATAACAGTGTCAACAGGAGTGACAGAGAGAGAGACCTACCACAGAATACTCTATAATTCCATGATTAGAACATTCTCCTAGGAGGTGAGAGACCAGTGTTCAAATCCCTGCTCCACATCAGGCAAAAGAGAGATTTGAACCCATGCCTCCTATATGCTAGGTCAGGGCTGTAACCACTGGGCTATGGGCAGGGGTGGGTATTACTACCCACTACCTTGTTTTTTTGTGAAAAGGACTGATCTGGCTTAGGCACCTTAGACCAGGAGGAGGTTCACAACTGTGAATCCCAAACAGAGGGAGGCACCTCTAGTTCATGCCTAACTCCTTTTGGGGGTGTGTGTGTAGGAATTTGGTTCCCCCCCTTTGCATTACCTATTAGGGTTGCCAATTTTGGTTGAATATATTAATCACATGACATAATTTTTAATTAAAGGTTAATCTTTAATTCTGGGAGACTCTAGGATAATCCTGGATGGTTAGAAATCCAATTTCCTGTTGGGTGCCTAAGGCAGCCACGGGCGGTGCTAGGGGGAGGCTTGCGGAGGCCACCCCAAAATTTGCCTTAGCCCTCCCATAGCAGCTGCTGCTCTCTGGCCACCCAGCTCTGAAGGCAGTGCCACCATCAACAACAACGTAGGAATAAGCCTGGGCAGGAGGGCTGGGTGCCCGAGTCAGGTGGAGGGTCCGGGGCTCCCCACAGCAGTCCAGACTGACCCACTCCTCAGTCCCCTTTGTGGATCTATCCCTTGTGCCCTCTGCCATGTCTACCCCTTACTCTCTTGTACCAGATACCTTTAATGTAGCCCTTAATTTTTATTATTTTTAGAAGTTCTGTTTAAGGGGAATATAGGAAAAAAGGAGGCAAAAATTAAATTTGACATTTCTAAACTCAATTTAATTTCAAGACAGATAAGAACAGCTCATTGAGTGGTGGGACAGTCACATATACTTTAATTTGGATATGATCTTATGTTTCTACATTTGATATAGAACTGTGATGTGCTAATTTGCTTGATTATTTTTATTTCTGTGAATATATGTGTAAAATGGATATAATTCCAACATCTCAGGCTTAAATAATTAATATTTGTAAAGTACCTTGAGATTCCCAGATAAAAGATAGAATATTAATGCAAAGTAGTAGTGTTATTTTAAAAGTGTTGATGAATGGGTTAGTCTGTACATTAATAAAACAAGACCGTGAGAAAAGTGTTTTTTTTTAAACAGCATGTCAACATATTACTACTGTAATAAGAGCACTACTCTAGTTAATCCATGCTGTCATTTTATTAGGGATCAGTTGCGTCCTTTTGCTTGTCCATGCAGATTTGTTTCCAGTATTACAAGCCAGTACGCATAAAGGAGTCTTGCTCCAAGTTTGTTGTCCTTGTTACTATTTACCCTGTTGTCAAAAACTAGTGACTCAGGATTCCTTGAAATGATTACAACCTTACTTTCATATCTGGACACAACTTGCAAAATAATCAATTACATTGTTTCTGCTGCCATATGAAAGCATTTGTTTATGCAGGAAGTGTTTTTTAGTTTACGTCAGTACAATCCTGTGCTCTACATACACAATTAGTGTTGCATTAGTTGGACAATTCCCAAGTTCTAAGTAAATTCTTTACCAGCTGCAGAGCTGTAGGTGACTGAAGCCAGTCATGAGGCAGTATTATTACGAGGGAGGTGGGTTCACTGTTTAAGGCTGTCATTTATCAGAACCATAATTTTTTTATTAACGTACTCATAATTTTTTTCTATTTTGAGCTGCTTAGTATGCAAACCTCATTAAAGCATGAACTGTGTTGTGTTTTAAGAATCAGTTGCTTTTCTGGTCTAACTAAAAAAAAGGAACACCTTCTTTCTATTTAAATCATGTAAATAGTTGAGGTTCATGCTGTAGCTAAGCTGATTCTTTCTCCATTTTAAAAATAGAAAATGCTAGAGCTATCCTTCCCTTCCCCCACTGTGCACTCACTGTGGATTTCAGTGTTGTAGCCTTCTACAGTAAGTACAACAAGATCCTTTGTGAAAATCTGAAGGGGGGGAAAGTAGCTACAAATCCATCCGTGGATGTTCCTCTGACTAGAACACCTGCACTAATGATACACAGACTTTGCAGGAGAAAAAAATAACAAATGATGATCACAAGTACTGCTATTCAGAGGAGCTGCACTAACCAGAATCTCCTAAAAAGAAGCCTAGAAAGTATAGGGGAGTGTCCTGCAAAACGAAAAGCTTGCTGGGGTATTCTGACCAGCCAAGGTTAGTCTAGCAGCCATTTCAGAAGCTGACGGTGCACTAAAATATACCAAGTTGATCGAGTTTTGCAGCATACTAACTTTAAACTGAATTTTTTCAGTAATCAGATTTGTAATGTAAAGGCATGCTTATATTAATTATTAGTAGTGTATTACACTTGCATGAGTTTCTACAGAGATAATGCAGCTATAATTTTTGATTGTACATTTTGAAATGTTGTAAATTCATCCACCGTATGTTTTCTTGTTTATCTGCCTTATTTGTGGTGCAGGTGTTCCAGGCTTAATGCAAATTGTAGCACGGAAGTAAAAGTCAATGTAACTAAATGCTGAGGGCTGACTGTTTACAAGAGATCTGATAATGTAAAGGGATAAGTAACTACATGTAAAGAGAGGCTTGGAGTAACTAAAAGATAGGACACTTTGGAGATTAAAAATACTGAAGAGAGTATATTAATTTTAGGAATTTGCCACAGATTGTCTGTTCAAAGGTAACAAGATGCTGAATACTAAAATTAAAAGAAAAATTGTGAAAAGAAAAAAATAGAATGTAGAGGCATTTAAAATTACCTGGACATACATTGGAACATTTTAAGAAGGGATATTTTAAACAATAAGCTTCAGGACATGATGGGAATATTATAGAACTGCTTTGTTACATGATAGTTAAAGCAGAAATTAGAAAAATAAAACACTTATTAGAGAGTGTCTGGACTAACATATATGATTGGAGGCATAAACATGGTAGAATTTTTTTTAAATAGTAATAATACTCTAATTAGTATCAAAGTGAGGTAAAAAAGGAGACTAAGGACATCAAAATTTAGCAGTGTTGATTTTAGAAAAAAAATCAGCCAGTGTTTGATAGAACAGAATACGTTAAAAAATGGAGAAAAAGGACACAAAAGGAAAATGGAAAGTATTCACAGTTAATTTACACCTTGAAAGGGATATCAAATACATTTGGGATAAATATATATATATATATTAGTTGTGAAGTGGAGCAAAAGGTAAGAAGAATACTTAAAATAGTGTTATGGTGATAACCTTCACTACTGTCGATATTGAGAATTAAAATATATTCAAGAATAAAAGTAGCAGCTACTATACTTTCCCTAAATACTAAAGAAAGCTTTCTAATTTATTTAAGGTCAACAGCATACTAATAAATAAATAAAATAAATAATAATAATAATTAATAAGTATTTACTAATAAGATGCCCATCGGTGGGGGAGGGATAGCTCAGTGGTTTGAGCACTGGCCTGCTAAACCCAGCACTGTGAGCTCAATCCTTGAGGGGGCCACTTAGGGAGCTAGGGCAAAATCAGTACTTGGTCCTGCTAGTGAAGGCAGGGGGATGGACTTGATGACCTTTCAAGGTCCCTTCCAGTTCTAGGAGATAGGATATCTCCATTATTTTATTTTATTTATATGTAGAAACCTGGAAAAGGGAATTCAATGTTCCTGATAGATAGTTTGGACCAAGGTATATAAATACTGTCAGGGCAATTCAGGGCAAATGTACCTGTATTCCCCCTCTATAGTTCAACAAGGGCACCCACTCTAGGCTCCTCAGCCATCACCTCTCTGGGGTAGAGTCAGAGATCTGCATTTCTCTGCCTCTTGACCAGAATGTTTTCAGGTTGCACAGGCCTCCGACTATATCGTGACATCCTCCAGCAAGGCACACTGCCTGCATGGCCTGCATCTGCATTATGCTTTCTCTTCAGAGACTAATAATGGTATAATTCCCAACAGTTATAAGTTACCACACAGGTCTTCCTAAGTGAGCACTTTTATTCTTAAAGGCAAAAGCATTAGACAGAAAACAGTAAAAATAACAAAAGAACCTACTTGTATGTGAATAACGTAACCAGAGACCACCCTCTAACTCCAAGAAGGGCTCTGGTTGGTGATTAGGGATTTTTCCTGTGGTCACCAGTTCATAACAGCTTTCTCTCAGGACTAGCTACCCCATGAGTTACTGTAGCCTTCCTGTATCCAGTTTGCACCTTTGAAGAGATCATGAATAGGTAATCAGCCAGACAATTAGGTTTCTCTTCAAGGAGCAGCTTCAAAAGGATGGCTCAGAAAGTGAGTAATTTCCATTCCCTTCTTCCAAAGTATTTCCCAGGAACCCCACTCAACTGAAAGTTCAGTCTTCTTTGCTCTACTATTTTAAAGAGTCTTTTGAAGCACATAATACTTCCTAGTGTTTACATTAGTCCTGCCTCTCTCTTAAAAGAAGTTACATACCATCAGAAGAACATAACATAAGAACGGCCATTCTGGGTCAGCCGAAAGGTCCATCTAGCCCAGTATCCTGTCTCCCGACAGTGGCCAATGCCAGGTACCCCAGAGCTAATGAACAGAACAGGAAATCATCAAGTGATTCATTCCCCGTCTCCCAATCTCAGCTTCTGACAAACAGAGGTTAGGGACACCATCTATGCCTATCCTGGCTAAAAGCCATTGATGGTACTATCCTCCATGAATTTATCTTGTTCTTTTTTTAACCCTATTATAGTCTTGGCCTTCACAACACTCTCTGGTAAAGAGATCCACAAGTTGACTGTGCATTCTGTGAAGAAATACTTCCTTTTGTTTGTTTTAAACCTGCTGCCTATTAATTTAATTTGGTGAAATGTGTTCTTGTGTTATGAGAAGTTCTTGTGTTATGAGGTGCAAATAACACTTCCTTATTTAGTTTCTCCACACCAGTCATGATTTTATAGACCTCTATCACACACCCCCCTTAGTTGTCTCTTTTCCAAGCTGAAAAGTCCCAGTCTTATTAATCTCTCCTCATACAGAAGCCGTTCCATCCCGCCAATCATTTTTGTTGCCCTTTTCTGAACCTGTTCCAATTCCAATGTATCTTTTTTCAGATGGGGCAACCACATCTGCATGCAGTATTCAAGATGTGGATGCACCATGGATTTATATAGAGACAATATGATATTTTCTGTTTTATTATCTATCCCTTTCTTAATGATTCCCAACATTCTGTTCGCTTTTTTGACTGACGCTGCACATTGAGTGGATGTTTTCAGAGAACTAGCCACAGTGACTCCAACATTTTTTTCTTGAGTGTGAACAGTTAATTTAGACCCCATCATTTTATATGTATAGCTGGGATTATGTTTTCCAATGTGTATTACTGTGCATTTATCTACATTGAGGGATAGTTTAGTGGTTTGAGCATTGGCCTGCAAAACCCAGGGTTATAAGTTCAATCCTTGAGGGGGCCATTTGGGGATTTAGTTGGGGATTGGTCCTGCTTTGAGCAGGGGGGTTGGACTAGATGACCTCCTGAGGTCCCTTCCAACCCTGATATTCTATGACTTCTAATTTCATCTGCCATTTTTTTGCCCAGTCACCCAGTTTTGAGAGATCTTTTTGTAGCTCTTCACAGTCTGTCTGGGACTTAACTATCTTGAGTAGTTTTGTATCATCTGCAAATTTTGCCACCTCACTGTTAACCCCTTTTTCCAGACCATTTATGAATATGTTGAATAGGACTGGTCCCAGTACAGATCCCTGGGGGACACCACTATTTACCTCTCTCCATTCTGAAAACTGGCCATTTATTCCCATCCTTTGTTTCCTATCTTTTAACCAGTTACCAATCCATGAGAGGACCTTCCTCTTATCCCATGACAGCTTACTTTGCTTAAGAGCTTTTGGTGAGGGACCTTGTCAAAGGCTTTCTGAAAATCTAAGTACACTATATCAACTGGTTCCCCCTTGTGCACATGCTTGTTGACCCCCTCAAAGAATTCTAGTTCATTGGTGAGGCATGATTTCCCTTCACAAAAAACATGTTGACTCTTCCCCAACAAATTATGTTCATCTATGTGTCTGACTATTGCAGGGGTAGGCAACCTATGGCACGCGTGCCGAAGGCGGCACGTGAGCTGATTTTCAGTGGCACTCACAATGCCCAGGTCCTGGCCACTGGTCTGAGGGGCTCTGCATTTTAATTTAATTTTAAATGAAGCTTCTTAAACATTTTAAAAACCTTATTTACTTTACATACAATAATAGTTTAGTTATATATTATAGACTTATAGAAAGAGACCTTCTAAAAACATTAAAATGTATTACTGGCATGTGAAACCTTAAATTAGAGTGAATAAATGAAGACTCGGCACACCACTTCTGAAAGGTTGCTGACCCCTGGACTATTGTGTTCTTTACGATAGTTTCAAACAGTTTCCCAGTACTGAAGTCAGGTTTACCGGCATGTAATTGCCGGGATCACCTCTGGAGCCCTTTTTAAAAATTGGCGTCACATTAGCTATCCTCCAGTCATTTGGTACAGAAACTGATTTACAGCAGAGGTGAAAGTAAGCCGGTACGCCCCAGAGTCCCAGGGTAACAGCGCTGCCAGAGTCCCAGGGTAGCAGCGGCAGCCGGGGGCTCGGGCGGCGATATAAAGGACCCGAGGCGCCTGCCGCAGCTATGCCCCGGGCCCTTTAAATTGTCCCCGGAGTCCTGGGGTAGTGGCGGCGGGGCTCCAGCAGCGATTTAAAGGGCCAGGGGCTTGGCCACTGCTACAGCCCCGGGCCCTTTAACTTGCCGCCGGAGCACCGCCGCCGCTACCCCAGGGCTCCGGCAGCAGGGCTCCGA